AGAAAAATAAAGGCAGCAATTGCTTATACACAAAAAGGGGCTTCCAACTTGCATGCAATTTTAACTCTAGTGGTCTCAATTCAATTTTTACTGCTCTTTTAATAAAATAAAAATTGTTTTATTTATAATGAAAGACAGCTGACTTCGGCACGCCTAGATTTTAAATAACCTTGCACGTTGCATTTCGATCATTAAGAATATATATCTATACATAACATAGAATAATTTTGGTTTCATAATATCTCTAAAACATTATTTTTAAATCGTATAAAATTACTTAATTTCCTCCGGGGCGCTCAATGGATAATTCATGTAATTATGACAGCTACTTATAACCCGATGGACAGGCAGAGTTTATGGTAATTAGTATAACGAACTAAAAATTTATATTCTCTATTTGCCTCCTTATGCTTTTGTTTATGTTTGTTTACATTTATTTAAGATACCCAAAACCCAAAGAAAGGGTCGACAGTCAGATAAATACAGTATTGGAGAAGCTTATTTGGTTGGCAATCGATTTTTCACTATAAAACTTTTAAATTTAATCCTGAAGTAATGCGTTATTCTAGGAGAATGCTAGTACATACAGCTGTGTTCACTGAAATAGCAGTGCGACAGAGGAACAACTTCAAAACTTTTTTTTGTACATATTCCTTTTTGCAAGCTGATCTATTGCACATTGTTTTTGTAAAATGGAACATAAAGATAAGAATCGAGAAAAAATTCCGTTAGATTTGCTCTATTTTTATGTTTTATTGCTATTTTTTCAGATATGCAGCTCGTTTTGGCCGATCACTGAAATAGCAGTTTTTAATTTTTTTTCGCAAAAAGTGCCGAAATTTCTTTTAATTTTGTAAAAAATGGCTTTAATTAAGGTCGTTATTATAGTTTATACTATAATACACCTTTACAACGCAAAAAAAAATATTTTAGTGGGCGCAGGACCTCACTGCTCCATGAGAGAAAGATATCAGATAATTTAGCCTAGAAAGAAGGGCAAAACTGGTAAAGAGTCTCTAAATCTTTCAAATTGTTCTTTTAAAATAGTTTATAAGTCATAAAATATGAACCGAACCCAAAAAAACCGAGGTACGATTCGCAAAACCACAATTATACAGGCTCGACGCGTACTTCGCTTCAGCAAAGCTCGTCCTTTTGCATCCTCTAGGGATATATGAGCGGGAATTGGCATGGGAATCAGTCATGGGACCATTCGCCGGGGACTTATTGAATAAATTTTAGATTCGCGAAGTCCATGGAAAATGTCACTGCTTGGTTACAGGCATATCAAGGCCAGATCCGAGTTCGCCAATAGCCACTTGAACTGCCACTATTCAAATGGCGTAATATCCTTTGGACAAATGACTCCAAACTGGTTTTATTTGGTGGAATAGGACAAGACAAGACCTCCAAATAGATAGTACCCCCCAAACCATACGCTGAAGACAGTAAAACACGGTGGCCTAAAAATCATGGTTTGGGTATACTTTTCATACAACGTTTTAGGTTCCGTATATATGATCGGTGGGATCAAAGACCATTATGTTTATGTCGAAATATTAAAAACTGTCTTGCAGCCGTATCCTGATGAAAATATGCCATTAATTTGGACATTTCAGCAGGACAGTGACCCTAATCATACCAGCAAGGTGGCCAAGGAGTGGGTTCTTAAAGAAAAGGTGGATGCAATGCCATGGCCTGCACAGTCCCCGGATATTATTCCGATCGAAAACTTATGGGGGACATCAAGGGCTACGTATTAAAGAAGTTTCCGACTTCTAAGCCGCAGCTTTGGCAATTTGTGCAGGAGGAATGAGGCCATATTCCCCTCAAGCGTTGCTAAGACTTGGTGGACTCCTTGCCACCCAGGTATGAGGCTATGATAGCCTCTAAAGGCTATTTAACAAAATATTAGATCATAGTCAATTAGAATTTAAGAAGAAATAGGTTTCTTATACGATATTTTTAAATTTATGAAGAATTTTAGTTTTTCACTGCTATTTCAATGAACTGCATAATATAGACCTTTTTTGTTGTTATTGGCTATATCTTCTAAAGGGTTTATGTTACCTAAATTAAATGATTGTGGTATTGTTAATAATTAAATATACTAAGCTTTTATGAAAAAAAAATTTATGAAAATAGTGTTTGTAACAGGATTTTCCGATCTTAAACGTGCAGGTCGTTGGGCACTGCTATTTCCGTGAACACAGCTGTATATACAAATTATGTTTTATTGTTATACCCTTTCAAGGTATTATACTTTTAATCAGAAGTTGGCAACGCAGTAAAAGAGGAATTTCCAAACTTATACAGTACATATATTCTTGTTCAGCATTAACAACCGAGTCAATCTAGGCAAGTCCGTCTGTCTGTCCGTTTCTACTAAAACTAGTCCCTGGGTTTTGAGGCTATCTGAATGGAACTATGCAGATAGTATTCAAACTAGTCTCACTAGTATACATATATGTCAAAATGGGCCGGATCGGAGGACTATAGCATATAGCTGCCAGAGAAACAATGGGTAAACTTGAGGGAAAATATGTATACTACTCTGATACTTGGTCACTTAATTTCTTTCAGAATATATTATTTAAAAAAAAAATTATTTTTAAAAAGTCGGACGTCTATATTATATAGCTTCAATAGAAACGATAAGAAAACAAATTAAAAAAATTACTAAATTATTAAACCACCTTTTATACCCTTGCAGGGTATTATAATTTCAATCAGAAGTTTGCAACGCAGTGAAGGAGACGTTTCCGACCCTATAAAGTATATATATTCTTGATCAGCATCAACAGCCGAGTCGATCTAGTCATAACCGTCTGTCTGTTTCTACGCAAACTAGTCCCTCAGTTTTAAAGCTATCTGAATGAAACTTTGCATATAATCTTCTATATACTCTTACTGCTATATATGTCGGAACGGGCCGGATCGGACGACTATATCATATAGCTGCCATACAAATGTTCGATATATTTTTAGAAAAAAAATTATAACTTTGCTGTTTTTCAACATTTTTGCACAATTTTTTAGATATGGCCATTTTAAATTATTTCAGAATTTCGGTAAAAATTTTATGAAAATCGGACGACTGCCATAGGAACGATCGAGAAATAAATAGGAAAAAAATTATAGCTGCGTTGTTTTTCAACGTATGTTTATCTACTCTAAGATATAAGCTGTTTTTATTATTCTATTATTTTATAAAAATCGGACAACTATATCATATAGCTGCCATAGAAGCGATCGGTAAATGTATAAAATATATGTATATGTATGAATGTAAAACTGTAACTGTCAAACTGTAAACATAATAAGTATAGGTAAAATGTAATGAAACTCTGTTTTGTGAGTGTTTTCAGCATTTAAACCCATCTGCAAGGGTATACAAACTTCGGCGTGCCGAAGTTAGCTTCCTTTCTTGTTTCAAAATATTTTCTTCTACTCTGAGACGTGGCAATTTTGTATTATTTCAGAATTTTGGTTTAATTATACTATATCATATCGTTACCATACCACGTAAAGTAAAATGTAAAGCTGTGAATATAAAACTTTTACTAAAAATATTTATATTGGTAAATATATTAGAAAGTTGATATTATTTTCTTATTCTTCAGCATATACATTTGTAATTTAAATTATACTAAATATTTCAAATCTAAAAAAAAATATATAAATTATAGTTTTTTATTAGGTAGTTATATTAGATAGGGCAACCCAAAATATAGTTTTTTATACGATTTCAAAATAATGTTTTTGAAATTTATTCTTCCTCTTAGTTTTTCTATTAATTTGAGCAAAATGACATATATTTTTCTGTAGGTGTATACATATATTTATTTATTCTTATCGAAACAAGAGGAGGATGTTCTTATCTGGCAATTTCCTTTATAGCAATAAGAATTACAAAATAACTACAATGCTCCAATTCAAATGTGGAAGCCGCCTGATATCTGCCATTTAATACAGTATGAAACTGTTACGCTGTAGGTTTGGTTCAGTTTATATATGGTATTCGACTTTAGAGTTTGCCCGAAGACTGTCAATTTTAAAATACGGGTGCTGTTTAAACTAGGTTTCTTTAAAGATGAAAAGTTTTATCATGATATTGCTCACATTTGTAAGTAGTCTCTTGAAGAACCAACTAAATGATTACTGAAAACTGTAATTAATTAAGAGCATTGACGGCTCTGTAGGCCTAAAGCCACTATTGATTGAGCCAAAGGCGAAAGTGGAACAGGACGTCTTCAGTTGCCCAAAGAGCTGCGTGTGTCAATATGCCGCCTTCGAAAAATTGCCTATTGTTCGTTGGGTTAAACATTACAAAGCAATCGGTGGTAATAAGGACGATTACTCAAAACTTACAAAACTGGCAACTTGCCTTCTGCAGCCGAATGGTGAGACGCAGAAACTATTGGATTCACTTCCCTCCGATTTGCAAGCTTTGATTTTACTGTACACAGGTGGCAATCAAGAAAATAAATTATCAGGTAAATAAGCTGGATTCCAGTAAGTTAATTTATTCATATATTCTCTTTAACAGTAAATGCTAGCGACTTTGGCAGACTTCAACAGTTAACATCTTTGGAGTTTCGAGGACCGGGTGCAACAATGGTCATTGATGAGCCCATGGATTTCTTGCAGCATGCTAATTTTGAGCAGATTCAGTTGCACGCCAGCGATACGCTGCAGCGCCCCAAATTTGCGAAATTTCCCAGTGAAGATTACGACTACAAGCCGCCCAGTGAACTCCTTTCATACAACAACAAATATCCGCTTCAATTTATAAATTCTTCCGCAGAAATTATAACTTATGAGCAGCACATTCAACGTCTAAAGCGGACGCGAATGCCTTGTTTCTATGGATGGTCACGTTTAGAAGTATTGCGCATCCACAATTGTGATCTGAATGAGCTGCATTGGCAAATGTTTGACGGGCTGACCCACTTGAGACACTTAAGTCTGGAAGGAAATAACATCCGAGAGATACCGCCATTTGCGTTTTCTGGGGCTTTCCAACTGAAAAGTATCTCATTGGCCCACAATTCACTGGAACGATTGCACTATTTTGGTTTAGCCGGATTGCTTCAGCTAGAAACACTAAATCTGTCTGACAACCAGCTGGATCAATTGAGTGAACTAAGTTTCCCACCCCTTCCCAAACTACTAATGGCCGACTTGCAAGGCAATCCATTGAAACACATTTTACCGGCTACATTTTGGGTGATGAACGCCACAAGAGAGCTCTATATAGGGAGTGATAAAGAAGCTCTTAATTTACGGACTTGGAACTTTTATGGGCAATTCGATTCCCTCCATAAGCTAAGAACGCTTAAACTAGGTAATGTTACCACGGAAGCATTGGAGCACGGCGTATTCATGGTAATTATACAGTCTTGATCGCAAAATCATCTATCTTAACGGTGAAATCTTCTTATGCAGGGTCTCCACAACTTGGAATGTCTTACACTACGCGGCACTATCAAAAGTCTACAATTTGACGTGTTTACTGGATTAAATATGCTAAGGGAGCTTGACTTAAGTCACTGCATGATTAGGGAACTATCCATGGACGCATTAGTGGGCGTGAAACAGCTGCAGCTTCTCAATTTAAGCTACAACAATCTCACAAATGTTCCGCCAGGTTTGCTGGATGATCAGCTTGAGCTGAAAGAGGTTCAACTACAAGGAAACCAACTAACATTTTTACCTCTTCAATTTTTTAATTTGCCACGCGTCAGGGTTGTCCGCCTCGATCAGAATCCCTGGCAGTGTACATGCCAGATGAGCAGTTGGGTGGCACATTTAACCAATGTAATGCGAGGGTCTATGAAAGAGATATGCGTCAAAGGTAACGATAATACCCTATCATGTAGAAATGTGACTACATATAAAATAGACAAAACTCTTGCACCACGATGCGCTAATTATAACGGACGCAGTGTCTACTATGTCCTTCGAAGGCAGATAAACTGTGGCGCCATAAAAATCATTCAACCCTCTTATCAAAGCCCAGGGTTGCCGCACTGGCGAAAAGTACAACTGCAAGGAATAAATTTGAGGCCTATGAACCGAAATCAACAAAATATTTCACATAAAAAACAAGCAAATAGTCTATTGTTCGTCACAGGGCAAGATAAAGTGCTGTCCAAGTCTCAACCCTCTTCTTTGAATATATTCAATAATATATAATATATTTACATATATATTGTGGTATGATTAAAACTTATATATGGTCACCCTGTTGGTAATGTTAGTATCTTAGATATTTAAGTTATTGTTTATTTACTTGGACTTAGGAAGCCATATTAAGTTGAAACCAAACAAAAATTCCTATTAACGATGTGAGATAAAAGTGACAATGCCACCTCCAACTTAAAAAATTGCGGATATTACATTTTGTGACGATTAATAATAACATTAAGCAAATGTACATTACTTATTATAAGTTATTTATTCGGCACGCTAAACACAAAATAAATTAGAAGTTTTTGCTTTAGACTCACATGGTACAATTAATTTTTTTTTTTTTTTTTTTTTGTATACAAATATTTTAAACGTTTTTGGCACTTTTAAAATTCGTACTAATATTAATAGTTAATATTTATATTAAATTTATGAAGATTTTGTATGTATCAGGAAGTTTGCCGGTTTTTTCGATAAAGAAAACACTCAATTCTCAAGAGAATGTGAAAAATTTGTTATTCAAAGTATTGACCGTTGGCTTCTACACATTTCGCCCATCTTTCAGGCAAATTATGGATACCATTCCAAAACAACTTTTTTTCTTACGAAATTGGCAAAGAGCTGCTCTGCCAGTGAGTGTCCCATCGATGCAAAAAGGTGATAGTCGGACAGGGCGAGGTCTGGAGAGTACAGCGGGGGCGATAATATTTCCCAATCAAGTCCTTTCAATGTGTCCTTCGTCAGTTTAGCGGTATGAGACGGCGCGTTGTCATGTTGCAAGATAACCATGCCATGTTTTCGGGCCCATTCCGGCCGTTTTTCGATCAACGAATTATTCAAATTGATAATTTGTTGTCGGTAGCGATCCTTTTTAGCAATTTTACCAAGGTTTGAATAACTTGAATTACACGACACCACATGGGTCCCGCAAATTCGATTTACTTGGAACGAAACTCGACATACTCACTGAGGAAAAAAAGTATGATGTTTTTATTTTGACGGAATGCGACTTGTGTATTTCTTGAGGTTAATCTCAACAGAAAAAAATGACATATGTATATGTCGAATGATACAAATGTATATAGTACTGCTAGCGACATCAACAGTAAAACCGGCAAACTTCAACTAACACCCCTGGTATATCAGGGTTATAAAGTCTTTTGTTAAAGTTAATTAAGCGGGGTTTTAAATTATAAATTATTTTAGTTAGTCGTTAAGAAGCTCTTTTCGCGCTAAACTAGAGGGAAAAATTTGTAAATTAAGTTGTTTAACTCATGCTTTTTAATAGAATAAAAAAAAGGTCTTTAATTTTATACGTTTTTATTAATTCTTAACAGTTTTACATCGATCATAGCAAATCCTGCGAAGTTATGGGTAGTTAAATGAAGGTCGTGGGTTTTTAATTTGTAGGTAAATGGCAGAAGCATTTGTATAATTCGTCATAAAAAAAAACTCCTAAAAAACATAAAGTATTCGTCGCAAAAGAGGTAATCAGGAAAATGTCAACTTAAACTAAATAACAACTTCAAAATGTGAAAAATATTTATTACTATCTCAACAAGAAAGGAAGCTAACTTCGGCACGTCGAAGTTTGTATACCCTTGCAGATTGGTTTTCATATTTATATTATAAATTATAATGCCGAAAACAGACACTAAACAGAGTTTCATAACATTTTATCTATACTTATTATGTTTACAGTTTGACAGTTACAGTTATACATTCCCAGCTTAACATTTTCTCTACATCTACGGATCGCTTCTATGGTAGCTATATGATATAGTTGACCGATTTTCATAATATTTATACCAAAATTCTATAATAATAAGTAAAGCTCATGTCTCAGAGTAGATGAAAATATGTTGAAAAACAACGAAGTTATAATTTTTTCTATTACTTTCCCTATCGTTCCTATGACAGCTATAAGATATAGTCGCCCGATTTTCATCAAAATTTATACCAACATTTTGAAATAATACCAGAAGCTCAAGTGTCAAAGTAGATTAAAATACGTTGAAAAACAACGAAGTTATAATTTTTTTCGATTAATTTCCCGATCGTTCCTATGGCAGCTATAAGATATAGTGGTCCGATTTTCATAAAATTTTTACCAAAATTCTGGAATAATATAAAATGGCTATATCTCAAAAATGATGGAATAATATTGAAAAATATCCAAGTTATACTTTTTTGTTCCAAAAATTTATCGAACAGGTATTAAATTTTTTTTTTTCGTACATTTTTTTTTATTTTTTATGTTGAAGGCTCAATATCTTAAGAATATTGTGTCCGAGTTTTACATCGATCATATGAGAATTGATGAACTTATGCAGAACTGAACGAAGGTCGGTTGGTGATCAATGCATGAGAATCACAAAGTTTAAAGCGCTCTCCTGAAAAATGCCATTTTAAAAATCGGTGTACACGATAACTCAAAATCTACTGAACCAATCGTTTTGAAATTTGGAACATAACTTCTTTAGGTAATTCCACAGGTACTCACGTCGAGCTTTTTTTAATTTTTAATTTTATTATATTTTTTATTTAACAAATTAACTTCTTTTTTTAGTCAAAAATCGGGGTTTTGACTTCAAATTTTGATAAAAAAATCAGGAAAAAAAATTTAAAATAAAAACGCCACGTGAATACCTTGGGACACTTATCCTTTACCGAATGAGGTATAATTATTGTAGATCGGATGATTTTGTGGACAGTTAGGATGTACATCGCAAACCAACTTCTTTTTGAAGGCGACTCAGGAGATTCCCTATAACTCCTCTACCTCTAAATATTTTGGGTTGGTGACGGGAAATAAAAGTTACTATCATACCGCCTTAAATCTAACTTATTGTATATATTTACATTTATGTACAGACTTATTTTAAGTTTCCTATTTACAGAGTTATCTATATTTATGTTTGTTTATATTTTATTTGTGGGGAGTCGGTTGACTTGAGACAGCAAAATGTCAAACAAGCCAGCAATAAAATAATTTTGTGTTGTATGATTTGTATATAAAGATATGACTTTACAGCCACTATTTACAGCTTTGCTAACTGATATAAAATTACACTGTAATTGTGGAACATACAGCACATCTTTAAGAGTTATCTCACATTTGTGTGTTTTTAGTTTCTTTCCTTCTGCGTTAACATATTTGTTACCAGCGAGATTTATTTTATTAGTATATTCTGCGAACCGATCGAATAATTTCCATCGCATACAGTGTTGAGCAGTCGCTCCACTATCTAAACACTATATATTTTTATTGAGTGAAATATTATTGCTCAAACTGCATAGGGAGAAAAAAGCTTTTGCACTTTTGTCTTTATCAGCCTGCTCCGGTAATCGAAAACGGCAAGATTTTTTCGTTTTCGTTTTTGAAAACGAGAAATTGGTGCTCCGGTAATCGAAATCGAAAGATTTGTTCGATTTGAATAACGGGCACTTTTTTCTGGCCGGAATGAAAAGTAAATGGTTTTTTATACCCTTGCAGGGTATTATAATTTCAGTCAGAAGTTTGCAACGCAGTGAAGGAGACGTTTCCGACCCTATAAAGTATATATATTCTTGATCAGCATCAACAGCCGAGTCGATATAGCCATGTCCGTCTGTCCGTCTGTCCGTCTGTCCGTCTGTCCACCTGTCCGTTTCTACGCAAACTAGTCCCTCAGTTTTAAAGCTATCTGAATGAAACTTTGCATATAGTCTTCTATATACTCTCACTGCTATATATGTCGGAACGGGCCGGATCGGACGACTATATCATATAGCTGCCATACAAATGTTCGATCGATTTTTAGAAAAAAATTATAACTTTGCTGTTTTTTAATATTTTTGCACCATATTTTAGATATGGCTATTTTATATTATTTCTGAATTTTGGTAAAAATTTTATGAAAATCGGACGACTATATCTTATAGCTGCCATAGAAACGATCGGGAAATTAATAGGAAACAATATATAACTTCGTTGTTTTTCAAAGTATTTTCATCTACTGAGGTATAAGCTTATTTTATTATTCTAGAATTTTGATATAAATTTCATGAAAATCGGACAACTATATCATATAGCTGCCATAGGAGCGATCGGTAGATGTAGAGAAAATGTAAAGGTGTGAATGTAAAACTGTAACTGTCAAACTGTAAACATAATAAGTATAGGTAAAATGTAATGAAATAATATCTGCAAGGGTATACAAACTTCGGCGTGCCGAAGTTAGCTTCCTTTCTTGTTTTTATATGAAATCAGATCTTATTTACAAAAGGAATAATAGTTTACTCAGTGGTCTATTGATATTTATTGCACACCACCACAAGATCATTCTGGCAGGTAGTTATTTTATAAAAAATTTATTTCTGACCCCATCTCAAAATTTTTGCCGTGTTCAACAAGTTTTCTCGTTTTGGGTATAGGTCGATAAGTTCGCCGCAAAAAGTTATCGCCAAGGTTGCTATATTCTTGGTGGAACGAAACAGCCAGTTAAAAATACTTATAAAATATAAATGAATATATTTAGGGGGGGTTAAAGTTAGCTTAACGAATTAAATAAATATATTAACACAACATTTAAATAAATTTTTGATAAATTTTGTATTGAAAAATATTTAGAGGTAGAGGAGTTATAGGGAATCTCCCGAGTCGCCTGCAAAAAAAGTTGGTTTGCGGTGTACAGCTGTGTTCACTGAAATAGCAGTGCGACAGAGGAACAACTTCAAAACGTTTTTTTGTACATATTCCTTTTTGCAAGCTGATCTATTGCACATTGTTTTTGTAAAATGGAACATAAAGATAAGAATCGAGAAAAAATTCCGTTAGATTTGCTCTATTTTTATGTTTTATTGATATTTTTCACATATGCAGCTCGTTTTGGCCGATCACTGAAATAGCAGTTTTTATTTTTCTTTAGCAAAAAGTGCCGAAATTTCTTTTAATTTTATAAAAAATGACTTAAATTAAGGTCGTTATTATAGTTTATACTATAATACACCTTTACAACGCAAAAAAAATTATTTTAGTGGGCGCAGGACCTCACTGCTCCATGATAGAAAGGTATCAGATTACTTAGCCTAGAAAGAAGAGCAAAACATGTAAAGAGTCTCTAAATCTTTCAAATTGTTCTTTTAAAATAGTTTATAAGTCATAAATTATGAACCGAACCCAAAAAAACCGAGGTACGATTCGCAAAACCACAATTATACGGGCTCGACGCGTACTTCGCTTCAGCAAAGCTCTTCCTTTTGCATCCTCTAGGGATATATGAGCGGGAATTGGCATGGGAATCAGTCATGGGACCATTCGCCGGGGACTTATTGAATAAATTTTAGATTCGCGAAGTCCATGGAAAATGTCACTGCTTGGTTACAGGCATATCAAGGCAAGATCCGAGTTCGCCAATAGCCACTTGAACTGCCAGTATTCAAATGGCGTAATATCCTTTGGACAAATGACTCCAAACTGGTTTTATTTGGTGGAATAGGACAAGACAAGACCTCCAAATAGATAGTGCCCCCCAAACCATACGCTGAAGACAGTAAAACACGGTGGCCTAAAAATCATGGTTTGGGTATACTTTTCATACAACGTTTTAGGTCCCGTATATATGATCTGTCGGATCAAAGACCATTATGTTTATGTCCAAATATTAAAAACTGTCTTGCAGCCGTATCCTGAGGAAAATATTCCATTAATTTGCGCATTTCAGCAGTACAGTGACCCTAATCATACCAGCAAGGTGGCCAAGGAGTGGGTTCTTAATGGAAAAGTGGATGCAATGCCATGGCCTGCACAGTCCCCGGATATAAATTCGATCGAAAACTTATGGGGGACATCAAGGGCTACGTATTAGAGAAGTTTCCGACTTCTAAGCCGCATCTTTGGCGATTTGTGCAGGAGGAATGAGACCATAATCCCCTCAAGCGTTGCTAAGACTTGGTGGACTCCTTGCCACCAAGGTATGAGGCTATGATAGCTTCTAAAGGCTATTTAACAAAATATTAGATCATAGTCAATTAGAATTTAAGAAGAAATAGGTTTCTTATGCGATATTTTTAAATTTATGAAGAATTTTAGTTTTTCACTGCTATTTCAATGATCGGCATAATATAGACCTTTTTTGTTGTTATTAGCTATATCTTCTATAAGGTTTATGTTACCTAAATTAAATGATTGTGGTATTGTTAATAATTAAATATACTAAGCTTTTATGAAAAAAAAATTTATGAAAATAGTGTTTGTAACAGGATTTTCCGATCTTAAACGTGCAGGTCGTTGGGCACTGCTATTTCCGTGAACACAGCTGTACATC